TGTACATAGCCCTGCTTTATATTTTTTGTGTTATGTACATATTTTTGTTACCCGGTATATTTTTATAAATTTGTGTTTGTACAAATTTTTGTTAAATAGTTCCGTCTTATGTACATATTTTTGTAAAATCTTCATTTTGTATGTACATATGTTCCCATATTACATGAATTCTTTACCAACAAAGTGATTTTTATTTTCAAATCTAACTTTTCAACACTTGATCTGCCGCTGCCATTAGCTTTTACAAGTTCTCAGCCTTATTGAATCCTATGAAGCCTTTGACTAAAGTCTTTTAACTATTCAACTGATTAACTGTTGGAATTAGAAACATTTACTTATGGGTGCTTTACAAAGATCTTAATTAATTTAATATAAATTATTTATTCTAAAAAAGAAAAAAAAATAACATACACCCCCCCCCCCCCCAGCCCCAACCACAACCAAAAAAAATTTTTTTTTTTAATTGGCAAACAACAAATTCATAACTTTCAATGTTATATAAAAAAATAAATTTTCTCTCTGTCAATAACTCTAAACATAATTAAAATTAAACAGCACCAGTAATAATTAAATAGTAATGATTTGGTGATTTAGCTTAAAGTGGATTTCCATTATGGAGACTGGAAAATATTCAAATTAAGGAACATGAACATTCCAAACATTTATGTTGTTATTATCTGTTGTCATGTGTTTTAATTTTTTATGATTAATAAATGAAAATTTTTCAAACAATTTTAAATAAATTTCTATGATAATTAATATTTATTAAAATAAAAATGCTACAAAATAAATAGAAAATTAAGGCTTTCCTTTTTTTGAATTTTTTCTTTTTTTTAGTTCATTTATAAAATGTTTACTTTGACATCTGATAATTTCTCTTCTGTCTCCAAACATGGATGATTTTTGGGTAAGAAAATGTTATTAATTTATTTCTATTTTGCTAAAAATGTAAATTATTTTGTTTTTGTGTGGAGGGGAGGGCATAATAAGGTAGGCAAGACTGAGTAGGAGATGGAGTAGATGAGGTTAGTAGAGTAGGTGAGGTTAGTAGAGTAGGTGAGGTTAGTAGAGTAGGTGAGGTTAGTAGAGTAGGTGAGGTTAGTAGAGTAGGTGAGGCTAGTAGAGTAGGTGAGGCTAGTAGAGTAGGTGAGGCTAGTAGAGTAGGTGAGGCTAGTAGAGTAGGTGAGGTTAGTAGAGTAGGTGAGGTTAGTAGAGTAGGTGAGAGCGCACATGTATGTCTGCGATTTAAACCTTAAGAATTGCAAAATGGAAAGAAAGGGTTTTTCTCTCAGCGCATCATCTGCAAACCAAGCCCCACACCAGGAACTAGGAAATATGGACTTTTGCTGACCAGCCATTTGGCCCCTACCGTAGGGACTAGGACATCTGGACATTTGTGGAATAGCAATCTACAATGGGCGTCGCGATTGAAATAATAATCACTAGTGTTGCAGTAAACAAAAAAAAAAAAAAAATCGCTTGCAGACAAATTCTAGCACGTCGCAAAAAGATTGTGTTGTGAGGAATAAAAGCTTTTAAACAAAAGAGAAAGGTGACAGGGAACCCATGGGCGTCGCGATTGAAATAATAATCACTAGTGTTGCAGTAAACAAAAAAAAAAAAAAAATCGCTTGCAGACAAATTCTAGCACGTCGCAAAAAGTTTGTGTTGTGAGGAATAAAAGCTTTTAAACAAAAGTGGAAGGTGACAGGGAACCCAACGGTGTGTGATAATGTGTTTTGTTTAATTTGAATGTGTGTAGATGGGTGATCAAGAAGGTTGGGTTTTCGAGTGGTGACACCGTGAAATGACCAACAAAACCCCGACTAAATCCTGATGGGGGTTGGGGTGGGATTCTTCTAAAAAAAAAGGGGGGAAAATACCTATCCCAAGGAGAAAGGTAGAAAAAATGCCTATCCCAAGGAGAAAGGTAGAAAAATACCTTTCCTAAGGAGAAAGGTAGAAAAAAAACCTATCACAAGGAAAAAGGTAGACAAAATACCTATCCCAAGGAGAAAAGTAGAAAAAATACCTTTCCCAAGGAGAAAAGTAGAAAAAAATACCTATCCCAAAGAGAAAGGTAGACAAAATACCTATCCCAAGGAGAAAAGTAGAAAAAATACCTTTCCCAAGGAGAAAAGTAGAAAAAAATACCTTTCCCAAGGAGAAAGGTAGAGAAAATACTTATCACAAGGAAAAAGGTAGAAAAATACCTTTCCCAGGGAGAAAGGTAGAAAAAAATACCTATCCCAAGGAGAAAGGTCGAAATATATACCTATCCCTATTAGACAGGTAGAAAAAATACCTACCCCAAGGAGAAAGGTAGAAAAAATACCTATCCCAAGGAGAAAGGTAGAAAAAATACTGATCCCAAGGAGAAAGGCGAGAGAAAACCCCAACAGAGATGTACTCAAAGATGATTCCGGCAAATCTGGGGCATCCGTTGTGCCAATAGCCTATCACGTCATATGACGAGCTCAATCCTTACAGTTATACAGTTATTTGAATTTTTATTTTATTTCCACTAATCTTTCTAAACGTAGGATAAACTCTAATTAAAACAGGAAGGTTGGGTTACTGTAAGTCAGATTGCAAATAGCACACTGTGATAGGCCTATGTAGGCCAGATAGCTGATAACACATTGTGGTAGGCTGATGTAAAACTGATTGAAAATTACACATTGTGGTTGGCCAGTACCAGAACCAAGGCATGTCCACAAGGCAATTCCACAAGGCTTGTCCACAAGGCATGTCCACAAGACATGTAGACAAAAAACAAAAAAGTAAATTTGAATTAAAAAAAAAAAAAAAAAAGACTTTCATTCAATGACCAGTTAAAACTCACTTACAAAGTAGACAATAATTTTCATACACAGCTGATACGAGAAAATGTTGTACTCGCATTGCTCAGGCGAGAATTAAACATTTCTTAAAAGGCATTACGCAAAGAAAGTCTGTGTAGAGGGTAGCAAGGCGATGTATGAAGCCAAAGAAAGTATGAGTAGAGGGTAGCAAGGCGATGTATGAAGCCAAAGAAAGTCTGAGTAGAGGGTAGCAAGGCGATGTATGAAGCCAAAGAAAGTCTGAGTAGAGGGTAGCAAGGCGATGTATGAAACCACGTGATTCGAATTGAATGGAAAAAAACAAACTTAAACTTTTTTTTTGGTTGTTTTTTTATATAATTGTTAAAAAAGAAGAACAACATCCATCGCGGAAGTTGGGGGGGGGGAGGGGTTGGTGACACCATCAGTTTAACGCACCGGGTGATACCAACCCTAGCTTGTTTTTTTATATAATTGTTAAAAAAGAAGAACAACATCCATCGCGGAAGTTGGGGGGGGGGGGAGGGTTTGGTGACACCATGAGTTTAACGCACCGGGTGATACCAACCCTAGCTACGCCACTGAGTGAAGGTGCATCAGTGATTTTTAGCAGTTGTTTTCATTGTGTCACAGGGTCTAAAAAGGTAGCTGGGTGGCCGAGCGGTCTAAACTGTCTCTAATGAGATAGCTGGTGGTCTGGAGTTCAATCCCCACTAAAGCCATCCCAAGCAACCCGGGTGGATGGGACTCGTTAGCCTTGGACGGCAACCTCTGAATTTAAAACCAGGAGCCAGAATGATCAACAAATTGATCGTGGGCACCTCAAATATAAGAAGAAGAAGGTTGAAAACCGCTGCCGCAGACAGATTAGTTCTCATTTATAGAAAAAAAAAAAATCAAGTTTTTGATGGCACACGTAATAATGTATGCCTCGTGTCCTGTAACTGAGAAGGAAATGGTGGAAAAAGGTACGTGCAAGCATGAAATAGAAAGACAGTTCAATGAAAGAAGAGGTACGGAATTTTTTTGTTTTGTTTTTAAATAAAAAAATAAAAATGGATCACAGTTACGCTTGATCAAACTACGGCTGGCGGGCGTAGGCCAGATCCGGCCGGCCAACGATCCTTTACCCGATCTATCTGGCCGCCGTTTGGGTACCAGTGCAGCAGTGACACGTTAGGGATCGGTCACTAAAATAGTCAAAAAGCATGTCCTAACCTTACATTAACATATGAATACTTTTATGTTGCATAAATTGGCTCTTCGGTTTAAATATTTTATTGGGTTCCCCTGTTGTTTTTAAAAAAAATTTATTTGTGCAGTGTGAATAGAAATTCATATTTAAAAAAAATTATAGTCCGGCCGGACTAAACCTAACCTAAACCCTAATTCACCGCAACTATAATAAAGACGCCGTGGCAGCCGTCCTCGGTTTTAGCCAAGTCTTAATCTTATTTACTTATTGTATTAACCTTATTTAATATTTATTGAATTATTTAGAACTCAGGACCTAGCCTATTGAAAGCCTATTCATTATCATTATTTATTCACAGTGTTTCAGGGACAGTGTACCGGCCCCACCGTTCAGAAAGTTTGAGGACCTCTGTGCTAGACACTTAACTTCCATTGGCGAGCAGTGTTGCTTGATATTTATAAACGTACTTTATTTGTTATTATTGATTTAAAATGTAAAAAGTATATCTATTATTTTTAAACACACAAGAAAAAAAAATATTAATAATGCAGTAGTCATAGTTTTATGAAGGAAAATAAATTTTATATTTTCACGGTTAACACTCAAATTCTTAACCTTAAACAAATGTATAAAACATAACAAATTTAAAATCTGAAAAAAGTACAATCCGACAATCCCAACAACAATTTAATTCGTTTGGCCACCTGGTCTGAGTTCAAATAAAAGAAGAAGAATATAAAAATTTGCGCATTACGTTCTAAATAATAGTAGTGTATTAATAATAATAGACTTGGGTCCTGTGGATACGATGTTTCTAATAATTGGCGCCCTTCTGTGCATTTTAATCCGGCCCCGTTACAAGTATAGAAAGAAATATAATTTATTCTCCCTTTCCCCCAGGTCCCGTAACAAAATGGATAAAATTCATTTTACCTTTAATGTAAGAGTTACCTCCCCACCCAAGAACAGAGAACTCTCAAAATCAACTGTTTTGAAAAATGTCTATGCCAAAGTGCTAATACTACGGAATTTTGGGCATAAGAACCCTTTTAAAACTAAATCAATTGACTTGTTTGGTAATATGCAATGCCCATATACTTCAATTTTCGTCATATTAAAATATAAGTTAATAGTGAATATAAATTAAACCACCAAATCTATATTTATTGTTGGATTTGCTTTGACTTTGTGATTGTGAATTCTGACTTTCTAACTTAAGTCAAGTCTTCTGACTCTTGACGAAAAACCTCATCCATGATTCAGACTTTTAACTTCAGAATCACACTAAGTCTATGATCAACTTAGGGACTAAAGTCTTACGTTAAAAATGGGGACGCCTGCCACTTTTTTATCGAATTTCACGAAATTATCCCTAAATCGATCCCTATGCCTAACCTGAACCCTAAATCGATCCCTATGCCTAACCTGAACCCTAAATCGATCCCTATGCCTAACCTGAACCTAAATCAATCCCTAAACCCAGAGGCGTAGCGAGGGTGTTTGGCGCCCGGGGACAAGATTCGCGGCCGGGGACAAGATCCATTTTAAAGCGCCCCTTTTTCTTTTTTTCAACTCTCAAACCCATTATTTTCATCAATAAAATAATATCAAAGTTCATTTTTGTGCTCCTAACTAGCTGGCGCCCGGGGACATCTGTCCCCCCCTGCCACCCCCTTGCTACGCCTATGCCTAAACCCTAATTCACTGCAGCTATAATAAAGACACAAAAGACGCCTTGGCAGCCATCCTCGGTTTTAGCCAAGTCTTAATTTTATTTACTGATTGTATTCATCTTATTTAATATTTTTTGAATTATTTAGAACTCAGGACCTAGCCTATTGAAAGATTATTCATTATTCATATGAATATAAATATAATTTATTTATAATATAACCATGAGCATGCCATTACTCATTACTTACATGTACACCATCATTTTCAACCTAAGCTTTAAGTCTTAAGCCTAAGCCTCGTTTTTTAATATTTAATTAAATTAAGTAAGATAAATTTCATTATATATCATATTAAAAATTTTGAACAGACCTTTTTATGAAAATTATATGAATTATTAATAAATAAGTGTTTTAATGGAGAAATTTTATCATTTTATTATATAAGCATCAAAGAAAGAAGTTTAAAAAATATGGTACTGGCCAATGATGATTACAAATAAAGATTGATTTCCAGTAAAGTTGTTCTTTTAGTGAATTTTATTTTTCAATGTTGAATTCTAAATAGTGTTTTAAATTAGATGCTGCATAATATTGAATATCTTACTTAAAATACATTCATAAATGATGTCACACTATTTTGGAACCATTTTATACTTCCCCTTCCCCCTTATCATCAGAAATCATTTTAAAAAAAACCAAAATCAGACACCCTTGTTGCCTTGTTATAAATACATAATGTTTGAAAATACCCAAATTATACATAAGTACCTTGAAAAAATTTCAAGGTTTCAATGCCCTTCACCCCTGCTGTCAGGACCTTGCGAAGAGATGGGTGGGAGCAAAAAAGATAATTAAAAAAAAATTCCGTTGACCAGTCGGCTCCCAATGAGACCGGTTCAACTGGTTAAGTTTGCCGGAGTTTGATCCGGCATTTTCTGATACTCCAGGGTGTCAAGTTAGGTTGATGTATCAATATTGCTCCTTGAAAAATTATTGGTCAATAATTAGATATGCTAAAACAATAGTGGCCGTTTTGCTAAAGGTATAATTAAATTCACTAAATCACTAAAACAATACTTACCCAATTTACTTCCTCAAATTTGCCTGAGTCTAAGCATAATTCAGGATGAACATAGCAGCTTTATTGGATCCCTAACCCTAAAAACCTTAACCCCAATTATAGACAAATTTCTATCTATACTCTAGATATTTTAGAAAAAATCAAATAAGAATTTATGTATAATTATTTGACATGAGCATACAAAATTGATCCCTTGGAAACAAGGGCTCATTTAGTTGGACACAATATACTATAAATTGTTTGAAAATACATTGTAATGACCAATGTATATTAATCCATTTTTTAAAATGGAAATTTAGTGTCACTGAACTTAAATTTAAAGACATGGCTAGCTCTTTTTAAAATCGCTGGGCTAAGTTTAGTTTATAATAAATACATTTTTATTATACTTTGTAAAATACAGAAGTTTAATTAGTACAATCAATGTTAATGTTCTATTCATTAATTTATTTATTTTTTTAAAATTGTAATTAATAGTTGAAGTCGAACATGTCAAAAGAAAGAACTTTTGAGGCGGGCATCACACGACAAGATATGTACAAACTGAGGACCCCGCCATGGAAAGAAACATATAGAAAGGTTGCCTTTTATGATGATTACCATTTAAAACTTAAAAATTTGAAATATTAGCATAATGGTTTTATGAAAATCTAGGGCAATAAATTTAAAATTTGCCTGAGAATTTCATTTTGTTTATGTGTGTAGAATGTGTCATGATCAGTCCTTCTTCTTAAGGCGATTATGTAACTTCTATTTATTGACAATTTAGTGTATGACTTAAGTGGCTGACATTGGAGGGACAGCCTCTGCTGTACTTTATGTAGAAGAAGCTTGAAATAGCCTTCTGTTGGGCTCTCTTTTTTATAAGGAAGTCTGTGCTTGACTGTTTAACTGCAATAATCAAAGTTTATTTTCTGCTCATTCAATTTCTTTATCTTTTTAAATTGTAAAGAATAGTCAAAGTCAAACATGTCAAACAAAAGAATTTTTGAGGCAGGCATCACACAACACTAAGTTGCCTTTCTTTCAGAGTGGAGAATATGCTTCAAATTTGGCATGTTCCAAAACCTCGGTGTTAGGTACATTGTCCTGCTTTCCAATGTTCAGAATATGGTGCAGCATCTGAGATGGAATCTGTTTAGTACTTTCCATCGGATGGCATTAGTGGTTCACACTTCTCTGGTTTGAATATAAGAATAATAAAAATATTCCTATGTCTCCTATAACAAAAAAATTTAATAAATGTATTTATTTATCACACACCAATAAAACTAAATGTTGGAATCTCATGAGGCTGGGAAGTGAGAATCTTGGTTTGGTTTCAGCAGTATTAAATATATATATTTTAATTGTATTTTAGATATGCACATAAAGTAGTGCTGTGAGGGGGCTTTTGACCACATTAGATAAGTTCTAAAGTAGCTATCATGACATAGGTTTACAAAAAAATTTGTAATGACAACCGGTCCATCCCATTCACAGAGGTGCATAGAGAGACTGAGAGCAAACAGGGCGAAAGCTCATTCCCTTAAAAGGAGACTTGGTTTGGAAGAAATCACAGATGAAGAATCTAATGTGTATGGGATCGCAGACCCCTCTCAGAATCCTGGCATACTTCTAGATATAGAGGCCATCATGGAAGAGGAATGGAGAAAAATGGATATTGAAGGGGTGCGGCAAAATAGAGCTGATACTGAGGTAGGAATTTTTTCCCCTTTCAAAGGACATGAAACTTTTAAAATTTTCATTTTAAGATTAAATTGCCACAATTTGAGGAAACTTCTAGCAAGAGTGAACTGCTGCCGACTTTTGCGTTGCGGACCAAATTAACACCAAGTCGCAATTAGCAGCAAAAAAATGCCAAGCATTAAAATTAGTGCATGAAAGGTGTTCACAGAAGAGCAGTAATAATAATTTTGATTACTTATTGTAGGAATAACTGTCTAGAAATTCTCTAAGAAAAATGATGAGTATGGCTTATTTTATGAATGAAATCGGCAATGAAAAATAAAATATAGTATCTGACCAGGATTATGTTACTGCTGGTTTGTTTGATAATATGTTTATTTACTTACAACGTATGAAAGATAATGTAGTGGGGCATAGTTTTCCTTTATATGTTGGATATGAAATCTGGTGAAGTGAAGACTCCATTTTAATCTAAAGGGATTTGGATATCCTTCCACTAGATGCACATCTTTTTTTTTTCCATGGTTGTTTTATTATGTTTTCTAGGGCTTGTTTATCAGGTAATTTATTCACTTATTTTATCAAGTAGTTTTGTGGGTATAAATTGTTTAAACATTAAAACTTCTCTTCCCATTAGGGTAATGCAGGGGACGGTGGTCAGTTCTTTGATGACATGCTTAGACTCTATGATGATATCAATGATGAGATCAGGAGAGAGATTCAAGCAGATCTTAGGAACGAAGGTTGTCATTTTACTCAAGCAATGTTTTGTTAGAATTCTAAAAACTATTTAATTCTCCCCCCCCCCTCCCTCTCGCTCTCTCTCAAGACGCTGCATTTTGTTGTCTATAACTTCTTCATAAACATAAAAAATATGTGATTTTATTTTCTTAGAAACTGAATTGACTGTGAAGCAAATAAACATAATCACCAACCCAAGAGTTGGAGGAACAAAAATTCTCTCAAAGAAGTCCTGGCATTAATGCCCATTGACTCAATGAAAGAATAAATTAAGATTTGTCAAGTAGATTTAAATAATATACAAGTTTATATTCTATAAATAAAAGCATATTTCAATAATTGCTACTTTGTAACCAGTTCAGTATAATATGTTGGACGTTCATATCACATTTGATATTTTTCCCACAGCCTACAACATTGGGATTTTATTTACATGGAAATTGATGGATTAAAAAAAAAAATTATTCATGCCTGCTGAAGTAGATAACTATACTGCATCCATGTTTATCCACAGAACAAAGAATCTTGTGTGATAGATATCTACAAGAAGAGGAGGATGAATTGTGTTCAGCCTTAAAAACTCTAAGCACAGATGACGTTATCTGTCCGTTGTGCCAAAAGTAAGGTTGTATTATACATATTTTTGTTTTCTCACATTTGATAATGGTTTAATGAGATAAGATTCTTCTATTAATTTGAAAAGATTGAAATTTTTTAAAATTAAAATGTTCATAGTGATTTTCAGCAAATACAAAAATTACATATTTTAACCCAAGACAACATTTTACTAATATAAAAATGTGAAAACAAGACATCAAATTTATTTCTTTAGCGTAGAAATCAGTCACCAATAAACTCCCTTAATCCATTTCAAAGGGAGTAAACCCTTACAGAAAGAAAAAAAAGAAAGAAAAAAAAGAAAGAAAAAAAAGAAACTGACTCAAAAAGAACAAATTGTGAAACTGTTAAAATAATTGAGTACAAAAATATGAAATGGAAACATTTGTTTCAAGTGGTGTTTGGAAATGCTATTTAAATAAAATGTCTTAGTCATCCTTTAAATATGTCTGTTGGAATCCTCCAACCGTTCAGCTTGACTAATTTCAAATATTCACCATCACTGGAAAAGCAAGTTCAAAAGCAAAAATGTATATATTTTTGATAAGATAAATCATAAAAAGTGTATAAAATTAAAACTGATATCAAGATAAATTAAATTTTTTTTAAAACTTGGCTTTCTGCTTATGCAGTAGAAGCATCTTTACGAGTTGAAAATTCTGTTGCCAAAGTATGGGTGACTGAAGCTCTAACTCTAAGTTAAATATATTTTTAATAAAGAGTGTGTTGTCGAAAAAAAGGGAAGATTCCGAAAGCGTCCTTGTTTTATTATTACAGATATATTTTATTGGAGAACAAAGGGGTCATTTTTTGCAACTGTGGACTTCGAATAAGCACTGAGGTATGTTTATTAGTGTTTGTCATTTTATCATCTCATTGCCACTGATACCCTGAGGGGTCATCCATAAAAGACGTCCACACAAAAGGGGGGAGGGGGGGTTCAGCAAAAAGTGGACTAAAGTGGACAAAGGGGGGGAGGGGGTTTAGGACAAAGTGGATGTCCACATTGTAGTGTTTTTTTGAGTGCAGCAGTTTTGCATAAATTTACTGCAAATTTACTCCCCGATCACAGTTACAGTAGCATGCCTTTTGATCCCTATTGTCCATCAGTGGCTGGAAGAATTTCCAAGAGAATATGTTTCTGCTGTACATATTTCCCATCACAGGCGGCAATGAAAAAACATAAGGTCGTCCATAGCAATATTCCTGCTAGTGAACATAATATGGCAGACGAATCAGACGAAGAGACTGCCACTCAAATTGAAGCAATTGAAGACTCAAGAACAGATGTTGTCATTATACGAAACATGTTTGAATGGCTGCAGTCCGAATTTTCCGTTGATTGAAGAATGGTGGATTATTTGTTTATTACATTTTTTAATACAGTGATTCAATAAAATGTTTTTGAACAGTTATTATTTCATTTAGAATTTTGCCTGCAAATAATTGGAATTTCTAAAAAAAATCTGTGTAAATACATACTCTTTATATTGTTGAACATTTTCCCAAAATATACGTTAATTTAAGTTCGGTAAATTTTATGTTTTGGACGTCCACAACTGGGGGGGGAGGGTGTCAAGTCAAAAGTGGACAAAGGGGGAGGGGGGGGGGGTAAAAAATAGCAAAAAATTGGTGGACGTCTTTTATGGATGGCCCCTGAGCTGTTTACAATTTGTTAATGTGATATACCTTGCTGTTGCTATATAAACCTTTTTTTTTCTTCTATTTTTTATTATTTAATAATTGTTTTTTTGTTTCTTTCTCCTTATTATTCAGTCATCTTGCAATCGCCTCCAAGTAATGTTTTGGGTTGCTTCCCATGAAATAATTTTCTTTTAACTGAAACAGTTTTCTGTTAGCATTTTTAGTCATAAAAAATATACTAAAATAAAGAAAGTAAAAGGTTATTTGTAAATTTTGTATTCCCAGCAAGACTGTGTTACGCTGAAAAATGTGAGGTCCAACATTCTAGAAGGGACGGCAGAACACAGTGAGAATTGTGAAGCTCACCCAAAGTTCCAAGTCTCTCAAAAATTTGGCATCTCAAACCTTCTCATGTCTTGTGAAGTATGTTGCTGTCAACAATTACGCTTTTTCTTTACTCTCAGAATAAAATTCTAAATAAAATTCAATCCTCTTTGGTTAGATAGGTTCTACCAGACTATCAACTGGAAGCTGTGTTGCACAAAATTTGATGAGTCTCTCTGTAGATCTATAAATAGATATAGAAGAGAAACTAAAGATTTTTCAATTTAAACATGATTTCATAATAGAAATACTTACCCGTTGATTTAAAGAGTGTCTTCTGTGCAAGAGCTCTGGAAATAATGAACGGATGCCAAATTTTACCTAAAACAGATGACCCTTGAAGCAGCTAATATTCTAAATCAGGCAGTTATCTTCCAGCAGGAACAATTTGCTATGGCTCATGTTAACAGCAAACTTATAAGCCTAAATCACATTCCTCATTCCATTCCACTTAATTCTTTTGGGGTTGGGCAGCCATGATAAAAAATGGTGAGTGTAGATCAAGATTTTTGTGCATAAGATTTTGAAGGTAAAGGAGATGTTAAGAAATTGTAAAAGGGATGAAGATTTAAGTGATGTGTTTCAAAGCATGTCTTATTTCTTTGGAATCGTATGTTTCTTTTTTTTGGATACCAACGTGAACGTTTAAATTGGACTGTAACGTCTCAGCTGTTATTTATAACTTTAATATAAACAGTGATATATAAGTTATAAAAAATGTATCGTTTGATTTTTAATTTGAAATTCGGACAAGTTTGGTTTTAAATTTCATTAGTAATGTTTAATAACATTAAAGTAAGGCGGCAAGTTTGGTTTTAAATGTCATTAGTAATGTTAAATAACATTAAAGTAAGGCGGCAGGGCACTGAGTACTAAAGGCAGGCGATCCAAGATACAGATCCAATTTCATTAAAACCTATTTAATAAGCAAAATTAAAGTTAGGTGAAGGTTATTGTTATCATTATTTTTGTTACATTTCACATCTAATTTGCATGCTTCCTTACTAAACTTTGAGTGATTTAGATTCAGATCTGAACTCTTGTAGGGTCTGGGATTTAATCTTGTTTGCTCTGACTCCAAGACCTGGATATGTGTGGAAAAGGGGAAGAAAATATGTATACATAAATTAGTCTTAAATTTATAATTTCCATCCTCAGAAATCAGTAATGTCATTTTTCCGACCAAACTTTAATAATTAAAACAACATATTGCTATGGCCAGTTCATTGAAGCCTACCCCTGATTCGATTTCATTTGAATTTGATTGGCTTAAGATTTTTTTCCCTCTCATTTCTTCTATTTGCAGACATGTGATTTCCTCTTCATAATTGTCTGATTGTCAAGAAAAAAAGATGGCCGTGACTCAATGAATGCCCTTGCTTATTTTGAGAGATGTTTGTGGCTGTGTGAATTATTCCCTCTTAGTGGGGTTGCCAGAAAGTTTGAGCATGTTGTTTAGTGCAGAGAGAGAGAGAGAGAGAGCAGTCCAGATTTTTAGAGAAATGTCAAATTTATCTTCTGCTTATTTGGTGGTGGTAGTGTGTGTTTTTTTGGTTTGGTTGGTGGTTGATGAGGTAATGTTGGTCAGAAGTTTAAGGGGTGGAGGGGAGGTAATGTTGGTCAGAAGTTTAAGGGGTGGAGGGGGAGGTAATGTTGGTCAGAAGTTTAAGGGGTGGAGGGGGAGGTAATGTTAGTCAGAAGTTGAATGTTTTAAACACGTTCACATCAAATCATTAACTAGAAAATATTAATTACTGTTGAAAGCTAATTTAAATAATAAAAGGGGTTTATCTGTGCCTCAGTGACACAAACTTAATCCCGTTTCTAGGTAAACAGAGTAGTCTAAAAATTCCTCCAGCCAGGTTTAAGCCTGTCTTTGCACCACAAAGGTGCTGAAATGTTTCTTTAGAATTTCCTTACTGTTGGTAATGTCCATATTACTCATTCAGGATTACATGCTTGAATTAAATTATTTGTATGTGCAATGGGTGTTCAACAATACGTATCTATGGGTTGAGTTCATATTGTGCCAAATAAGGCATGATGGATCATTGTGGGGACATTGTTCAGAACAAATGTACAAAGTGTAAATAGCATTTTCTATGTCCGGAATGTACTAGATTTTTTAATGTTTTTTGTGTGTGTGTGTGGTTGTAATTTCACTATGATAAGATTAGTAGAAAAAAAATAGAAAAAAAAATATGCATTCATTGTTTCAAAGCAATTCATGGTTAGATCTTTCGTCACAGGAAACCTTCAAAGCTACCGTAGTTCATTTGTCATAGTATACTTTCATACTGTCACAGTAAAGCCTTCATTGTTAGATAATCTGTCATTAGTGTATACTTTCATTGCTACTTCATCTGTCACAGTATGCCTTCATTGCTACATCATCTGTCACAGCATACCTTCAATGCTACATCATCTGTCACAGTATACCTTCATTACTACATCATCTGTCACAGTATACCTTCACTGCTACATCATCTGTCACAGTATACCTTCATTGCTACATCATCTGTCACAGTATACCTTCAATGCAACATCATCTGTCACAGTATACCTTCAATGCTACATCATCTGTCACAGTATACCTTCACTGCTACATCATCTGTCACAGTATACCTTCACTGCTACATCATCTGTCACAGTATACCTTCACTGCTACATCATCTGTCACAGTATACCTTCACTGCTAGATCATCTGTCACAGTATACCTTCACTGCTAGATCATCTGTCACAGTATACCTTCACTGCTAGATCATCTGTCACAGTATACCTTCACCCCTACATCATCTGTCACAGTATACCTTCATTGCTACATCATCTGTCACAGTATACCTTCACTGCTACATCATCTGTCACAGTATACCTTCACTGCTAGATCATCAGGACATGGACAACTAAGGATATAAAATGTTTTCAAAAGGGATCGCCTACAAAGTTGATAGATCTTGTTTCTTTGGGAATGAAATTTCTTGAAGTAAGAGCCCTGGCTCATTTCTCCACCTCCCACTCCTCCCATACACCACAAATCTAATGCCACCCACCACTCCTCCCATACACCACAAATCTAGTGCCACCTAACCACTCCCATACACCACAAATCTAATGCCACCTAACCACTCCTCCTATACACCACAAATCTAATGCCACCCACCACTCCTCCCATACACCACAAATCTAGTGCCACCTAACCACTCCCATACACCACAAATCTAGTGCCACCTACCACTCCTCCCATACACCACAAATCAAGTGCCACCTACCACTCCTCCCATACACCACAAATCTAGTGCCACCTACCACTCCTCCCATACACCACAAATCAAGTGCCACCCACCACTGTGCTTAAATAAAGCAAATGCTTGCTGGTGGGGCAAAAAAAATGCAGTTTGGTCTCAGTGTACCGGGACTGGGTCAGCAGAACCATCAGCTGCCGACTGTGACATAATGATACAGGGCATTTGTCTTGGCTGTCATTCAGATTTCAGCCGATTCCCCTCTGTATGTGTGTGTTCACTTCCTGGTCATGTGGGAACACTAGGCTGGGTTTTTTTTTTTTTTTTGTTGTTGCTTTTTTAAATCTATAAAACACCTTAGCAATGTGAGGGTGAGTCAATGGGTCGATGGAATGAATGGTTCTCACAATTTTACATTTTTGACTCATCTTTTTTTTTTTTTTTTTTTTTTTTTTTTTTTTTTTTTTTTTTTTTAAAGAAAAATGTAGAATCCTTCTCAATTTGAAAATGTTAAAAATTGCCATTGAGTGTAACAATTAATTAAAATAAATATTGTCTGTCAAATTCGGGGGCTCACTTGGAACTCGCCGAGTTTCCAAAGATCATAGATAAGGTGACATTCTTTTGTAGGGGCAGATTTATCGGCAGCCTTGTCATTTCTGTTGATTTACTTCTGTTAAAGTCATACCATGCAGCCCCTTGAGTTTGTTTGTTTTGGTGAGATTCCTCTCAGAGGTATGACTCAACGTACCAACATTGTTCTATCTTAGCTTGTTCTCGTCCGAATGTGTCAAATTATTTAAAGGTTATGGAGGTGGGGCGGAAGGACGAGTGTTAAAGTTGTACACACTGGGTTCTTCCATTGGAAATAAAATGAGAATTTATTATAACTTTAAATTTTAAACCAAGAGCGAACACCCGCCTCTGAGGTTGTGGCACTGTCATGAGATCCTATGGCCAGAAGAAGGTGATGAAAACAAAAAATGTACAGGCGTCATTTTTGACAACGGTTTGCTACAACCGCTTGTGTGTTTGATCTCCTTAAACCCAGTCACCTTTAATGACTTTGTTTTCAGCAATGATAGCCAGGGAGATGTTTGTGACTGTGGTGGCAAACCTGGACGACAGACATTTTTACATTTTCAGTTAATTTTTTTTGTGCACAATATTTTCTATTTGTGACAAGTCTGTGTCATGCTGTCGGTGGTTGACATTTCTTTTGTAAATGTCATGCTGCCAATGGGTGACAGTTTTTTTTGTGTGTAAATGTCATGTCCATGATTCATTTTATTGACAGTTTTTTTTTGTCCATTTCATTTTGTAAACAAGTGTCAGTTTTGTGTGTGTGTGTGTGTAAAAGTCATGTCATTGGATGAAATTTCATTTGGGAATGTAATGCTACCAATTTTTTCTTGTAAAAGTCATGCTGTCAAAGGATGAACTTTTTTGTGTGTGTTGTAAATGTCATTTTCCCCATTGCATCCGTTCTTGATTTCTGATAGGTAGAAATCCTTGATTGCAATTAAAATTGATTTCTTTTTAATGGGAAAAGTTTTTGTTGATTATGTTGACTCAGCATATTACATAAAATTTATTTTTCAGTCCCCCCCCCCCCGTCCCTTTTTACAAATATTTTAAAATGACATGGAAACATTAAGATGTTTCAAGTTACAGTCATGCTACCAGGTTACTATGTTTAAGTTTCAACAAACTACAAAGGAAGGTAATAAGGTAATTTATTTTTAATGTGGCAGTTATACAAAAAAAAAAATTTGAAAAATCATGTTTTTTTAAAAATGTTTCTGTATTCAGTTCCAATTTATAAGTGTGTCTTTGTACATTTACATTGGTAAACAAATACGTGGTGGAATGTAAAGAAAAAATATTTGGATGTTATAAACTTGAGAATCTCGGACATGAACACTTTGTACGAGGAGTCGTCACATGGATAATCATAAATTAGGAAATAGAAATTAACATGTCCTCTAAAGTTCATTAACTTGCATTCATTGTATATATATATAAATGTATATCAATAATATGGCGCGTCAATAAAAGTAATGAAAAGTTATCACAAAGATAAAGGTCATGAGAAATGTATGGCAGTGCCCCAACGCTCTAGAACTTCACGCACCACGTGATCGTGACGCCTCTCCCAAATGTTAGGATGCATCCGATCCCACTGAACTAATCTGACTAGCAAAAGGCGGGAGATTGCCAAGATCCACCTGTGTGGCCTCAAACGTAGATTCGAGTACAGGGTCTCGAGTCGAATCCGAACAAGTTCGGGTGTCGATTACCACAAGAAACCAGCCGAAAAACAAGGGGGAAACTCGGCTTTTTTTTGTGTGTTCTGATCTGAAACAAACTTCAGGGTGTAATACCAAGATGGAAGTGTTTTTTTTTTTTAGTCAGATGTGTGGCTGGTTGTGGTTTCGGTCTTCAGAGGCTGATTTGGTATTGTTGTTGCTGCTTTGGTTGTAGATTCAGTCGTCTGCGACCGTGTGGATTTGGCTGATGACGCCGTGACGGACTTGTCCGTGGTTTGTTTCACGGGCGTGGCGGTTGACACAGGCATCAGAGTCTCTCTTTGCCGACCCTGCGTGCTCCCCTGGCCCTTGGCGACTCTCTGCGTTTCGCTCGGCTTCGACGCCGGAGGCGTCACCGTGGTCGGCGTCGTGGCCGAAGGGGCGATCATCACGTTGATGTCCGTGACATGTCTTTCGTGTGCCACGGGGGATCTCAAGCCGCCGGAGTCCCCGTTTTGGGTTGGTCGCCCAGGTCCTTGGGGTTGTGACTGGAGGACTCTACGGGTCAGCATCGACGATGCCGCCACACGACCGCCGTCGTAAGGGGCCGAACTCTGTCCGATTTCGTTGACCGCAGGCGGGGGGCGGGCGACGCCACCCGACACCCCCAAGAACAGCTGCCTGGTCTGCACCGAGGACGGGAGGATCCCACCCGGCAGCGCGGACCTCTCCCGTGAAACTCCGTGAACGACTCTGCTTCCAGCGGGAGACGGGTGGAGGAGATCACGAAGTTCATTGGCCCTGGCCCACTGCGGCCCCTCTCTAAGTGGAGCCGGTGTAGGGGGTGGGGTGCTCAACAAGGGCGACGGGGCTGCTTTCTGTGGATTACACGGATTACAGCTGCTAGATCGCTGGATATTCGGAATCTGAAAATATATTAGGTTATAGTTAAATTAGGCGCCGATGTAAAAAGTAAGCTCACATCCGCTTAAATATTAGGAGAGAGTTCAACGAAACATAAAGACAATGTTTTTCGTATAAATCCTTTATATGGATTTTTCTTGGCATTTATGCCATTCTACGTGATTTATCATTTATTAAGAAGTGGTTATGTAAATGGGTAAACTTCTGGAGAAAATACATATTTTTTTTTTACTGCATTCCCATATATGTTACAAAGCACAAAGCAACAGCTACACTACTAATCATCATAGGAAAAACAGATTAAAAAAAATATTTTTTTTTTGATGGGTGGGGACTGCAAATTGGATTGAATGTGTTGTCCTTGTCAACGAGTCTATGTGACAAGTTTCAGCTCGATAGGATGACGGGAAGTGGATCAATGGGCCGGCCGAAGATTTTGCCACAAACGCACGAACAAAGCGAAGTTAATATAAAAGCTTTAAAAAAATATTTTTTTTAAATTGAATCAAGTTTTTTGTTGATCCCTTTTAAAATTTAGTATCGAGCATTGTGGGTGGGGGCTGAAAATTTTACAAAAAATGCATTCAAGTATCACACTTTATAAGAATTCCAATTAATGTTACCCCCCCCCCCCTTGCAAGGTCTAGCAACAGCACATTTTTTCACGCCCCTGATTTTTGGGGGGAAGTAAGTGCTTGGGGCTTA